TCCAAGCTACCATCGTTGCCGGTGCCGTGCTGCTTTCCAGCTGCCTTGTGCTTGGATCCCGATTCCACTTCGCCAACGTGGAGGAAATCGTGTCCACCCTTGCCGGAAATCACTGACCGCGTATCACCGTTCGTCGGCGCAGCCAGTCCATTGTTGGGCGAGTTTTCGGTGAGAATGGCAAAGTTACGGCTCGGCATAGTCACATGGTTGGAGTTGGACGTCTTGCTCGAATCGCCGGGGTCCTTGTCAAAGAACTTAAGCAACGTCTCGTCCGTGTCGTGGTTCAGGTGATGGATCTTGTTTCTCCTGGCCAGCAAGTTGGCAATTGCTGCTGGCGGTGGCTTGTTGGTAATGGCAGAAGAGACCACGTTGGCCATATAGCGGTGGTCGTTCTCCGAGGCAATGTTCAACTTGGGATGCGAGTAGAATCGGCCCATAGCCGCCAAGTGCACATCGCCGCCCAAGATGGTGATACGGACGGAGAACTCCGATGAGATGGCCTGAAGTCTCTCGACAAGAGCGTTACGCTCCTTCTTGTGAGTTCTCGCCGTGTAGTGGTCGTCAAGATCGTCGAGCAAATCGACGCTGCCGTCAAAGTGGTTGAAAACACCACCAGCTGGTATTGTCAGCAAGCTGAGATTAGTGCTATAGTCTACTTGCAGACTTACCAAGACCGAATCTTCGGTTCAGGAACTTCACAGGACCCATGATGGGACTGCGGAAAACGTTCTCAAGCCATGTCAGGCGCTGAAAAGCAGTCAGTTTCTGTAAAGACGTCTCACAAGCCATCTTTACTTACAGGGTACGCAATTGGGATTCCCAGCAGAAGGATCAAGTGCTTGAACGGGCGTCCAGACTCCTGAGCACCCTTGAGCTCTTGTCTGAGGCGGCTGAAAATCAAGTCATATGTCTCTGGGTAGTTGATTTGATGGCGTGTGCGCTGTGAGACGCCATTAGTCTTATGCCTTCCAATGGGGGTTCCTCCGTGTTCTTACCTCAGTTCGAGCATCAATGCCCAGGAAGGCAATACGCGCGCCAAGCCGGGCGAACATGTTATGTGAGTGTTCAGCGACATAGGGCTGGGAATCCGATTAGCTGTGTTTTGAGAAGAGTTTGCATCGATTTCTTACACCGGGCTGCTTGCCAACAATGTAGCTGGGATCCGATTTGGCCGGTGCAACGTAGGTATCCATAAGTTGGTTGGGGTCAAGTCCTTGGCCCTCGGCCGTTGTGGTGTGGTCTGTCCATGTATTAGTCTTAATTGTATTGCCGTGGACGAGAAACTTACCCGAGGTGTAGGTGGACGGAGGTGGGGGGAGATGATGCTGGAATAGCATGTAGTACTTGTGAGCAGTTCCACCAATACCCCTGAACACATCGCATCGCATGAATTCGTCAACGTAGGAGCCGAATCCGTCAATAATCTAAGTTGTCCGGTCAGAACATCGTTCACTAAATTTTCTTTGAGTTTTCAGCCTACATCATGATCATCCCAGATATTGAGCTGCGCAATCTGGGCATTGGCAGTTGCAAATGGCTCCGTAGAGTACCTGTTGACAATGTTAGCTCTCGACACCTTCAAGTTTCCCCCCTGGCCATGCACATACCAACGGATGTAGTTCTTCAGGTAGTAATCGTCACAAGCTTGACGAAGCTTCTCGGGGAAGGGGAAGTGTCTGCGCTTCTTGGGGTTCGAGATCTCGGTCCATTCGCGCAGAGGTCCGTCGACTCGAATTCCGTCGTTGTAGATCTGGTCACCTCCTCCGAGCCTATGTGCAAGTCAGAAACAGCGGCCTTGTATTAAGCAGGCCAAGACATTGGACTCACATGACGTGGAATGGTCGCTCCGTGTGATGTCGGTTCACATCGTTCCATAAGGCGGGGCCGCTCCAGGCATCTTCATCAGTGCCCACACTGAATCCGTTACAGGAGTGGAACATGATGCGCATCGACTCGTTGATGGCCGGGACGAAGAAGTGGTAGCGATCAGGCCTGATGTTGCCAGCCGAGAATCGCATATCGGGTATCGAGTACTCCCACTTGGCCTCCGCTTGGCTGAGGGGGAGTGACAGGTCAAAGGCCCAGAAAGTGTTGCGAGGATCAGAGTAAAGACATTGGCCTTGGGTCTCTGAGCCATTCGTGCCCGTGCCATTGGCTGGGCCGGAAACCTCGCCGTTGAAAGCACCGTTGGAACCGTTGACACCGTTCGTCTCGGCAGGGGCGTGATGGCCGTTTACTGCATTCGCAGGGCGCAGAACCAAGTGCGGTGCGAAGCTCTGAGTCTTGCCACCGCCCTTTGTGACGATCAAGACACTTCCGTACCAATTGTTCTCGTCCATCCTGCGATAGTTGAGCAGCGGTCCGCAGATGATCTCCCGACCGTCGGGGGCGTCTTGCTCGTGAGCGTGGGTTGCTGTCGCGCGAGGTTCCTCCTGGCCAGCGGCCTCACCAGCAGCGACCATGATGGGCTTGAAGTTGGGCGGAGCATTGGGGTTCTCGGGCTCGACGCGGTCGCGGTTCAGAAAGTCGGCCAGGTCGTTGGTGGTTCCTCGTTCTTGGGGATCGCGGGGTTGTGCGTGGCTGTGGGCACCGGCGGCATGGCGGAGGAAAGCTGAGCTCTCCTGGTGACGCCATCTGTTGGACGAGGCATGGGGGTTGTGCTCGACATCATCGAGGGCTTCTCCGTGGGGATGTGAAGCCATGTTTGCGGTTCTATGATGGATTTGTGATTCTGGTTTTGTCTTTGTCTGTGAGCAAAACAGAACAGACTAGTTAGATCTTGGGAAAAGAATCACAAAGGATATTACTGGGCAACGGTGGCTCCTTACAATGTCTCAGCGCAAATGAGACTGGCAGGGTCGTTCGCGCGCGCCGGTCAGCTGTCAAGAAACCCACAAGGTCTAGAGATTTGTTGTTTTGCGAACTGCGAGCTCGAAGGGAGGGTATCAACGGCCCGGGTATCTGGTGATGCGACCTCTAACAGAGACCGTAGCAAAAAGGAACCTTGAGGAGAAGGGGAAAAGTGAAAGATGGGAAAGGGGAAAAGCAGGAAGATTAAACGGAGAGAGGGTGTTGTCGAATCCCACCACAAATCGCACGAGAAAAGCGTGTTGTGTTGGATTGGATGCGCTGCTGGGCCAAGGTAGGTAGCGCAGCGTGACGCGAGCTAGGAATTAAAGTGGCAGGGATTGTCGGCGGTGGTGGGGAGAGTCCACTACGCAACCGCTGTGGGCAACGTCCTGGTCTGAGGTGAGCTGCTGCGCTACAGCTGGAAACTCAAGCTAGGGAGGTCCAGGTTCGGTATGAAGCCGCCCAGGCTGCCCTGTCCGTTCGTGCTGCGAGCTGCAGCAGGGTGAAAGGTGGACCGGGGGGTGGTTTCTAGGGGTGAACCTGGAACGGACAGTACAGTCGGACTGGGTCCAAGGAGAGGCCGTCATGGAAGTTTTGCGACACTCTGTGAGAGATTCCATAGATAAGGACACTTGGTGATGGTGGTCTTGGTGGTGCTGTTAGTGGTGTTGGACGAGCGCTGGCTTCTTTGTTGTGGCGATGGCCAACTTTCTGGCCGTCATCGACAAGTTTTCGCCCCCAAGTACAATGCCATATTGACATCTATCTTATCTACCAGGTAAGTGTGGTAAAGTAGGTACCTTTGAAGGCGGCCTCCGAAAACCCCTTTGTATCCCTCGAATTGAGGAAACCAGCGCCAGGAGGACCGGTCCTTCACCTCAGTCCAAGTCCGCAATCCTTGCTGCAGCAAATCAATCCACCTGACTCCATGCAGAGAGACATGCAGTATGCTAATAAGCTAATTACTGTGTAAGAACAAGGTCCGAGGTCTTTCCATCCGATCCTATTCGTGTGTGAGTATCCGTATGTAATAATACGCGTAGACCACCTTGCTCTGCATCAAACTATAGGTAGGTAGCTTCCTGTTGCCGCAAAAAAGTAAGCAACGACCCGTCTCCTGCCATTGGTTTTTGAGGCTTATCGGTTGACAACGTGTTGGCGTTCCATCATCCGTATGCCCCATTGCCCCCTCTTCTTCTCCCTCGTCTAGGTATCACCTCAAGTTGATTGAATGTGTGCCTTGCCTTGCCTTGATCTCTCAGATGAGGCGAGGGCCGTGAGTCGTCGGTGACAGCCGGACAGCGTTGGAGCGTTGGAGCGTTGGAGTGTGCGGCCGGACGTTCCCCCAATCTCTCAGCTGCCAAGGTCAAGGTCCTCGTCAGCGATCTGTTTGCCGGCGCGTGTGCACCTCTGGGGTTGGGATGACGATGTGTTTAGTGGCCAGAGCTCCCCAAACGGCCAACCCATGGGCCTTACCAGACCAGCTCGCATTGGGCAAACACGCCGGTTCCATGCTTGCAGGGCACTTCTCGGGCGAAAAAGCCAAAAGGCACCACTCACGCGGCGCACAATGTAACGCCGACTCTGGCAATGGCTCTCTGTGTTTTTTTTGTCTTCCACCAAAGAAGTACGTACTGCGTATCGATCAGGATTATATGTGCGCTAAGTGGGTGAACCGATTCAAGAGGTAAATTTTAGCGGCATGCAAGGAAAGATGCCGATATGGGAGGCCTGCGAAAAAGGACGGGTCCACGGGTCAATGGGTCAACAAATGGTTAAACCGTAACCGTAAGTGTCAACGTGCCGCGGCAAGCTGCTGCTGCTACTGCTAAGGATAAGGTAGGGAGCGGCTGTTGGAGACTGGCTGGAGCTGGATTAGAGTGAGACTCGACGGGAGTCTGATGGTATTGTGTTTGGGTGCCACGGGTTTGTTGATTGATACGCCCAAAGTGGCCTGGTCAGGCGGGTTGAAATTGACACCTACGTCAGGACTTGTGGTTCTTTGGAAATTGAAACAGGAATGCCCCCACAGGGGCCAAGGCTGAGATGACCCACTCCGCGTCCCTCCCATCCTTGCTTCTTGACTTCTTAATCCCTGATATCCCTGTCCTCCGCTGCAGCTCTTGGCCCCCGGTCTTGGTCCGCGGACTCGGCGTGCTTTTTGGCTTATGCTACATTCCGTACAAACGGATTGCCGTTGCCGGTTGTCTCCTTGGCGTCCCGGCATTTCTTTTCTCTATTGTGTTATCCGTAACCTATTGGCGGCCTGCCCAGCGCCGGTGCTCGCAGCTGTCGATACCGCTCCGGTTCCGGCGACCAGAGTCACCCCACCGCCCGACCGGCTGCGGTCTTGGGTCGGGTCAAGTGGATCCCGTATTCGTTACATCGGAGCCGGCGAAACACATCGCAATCAAACAGGGGCCCAGAACCAGACATAATCGCACCACTTGCATTCATCAATTGCTGAATTGTGACCACCTCATACTGAGAGAGAAAAAAAAAGGGGTGATAGCTGAGGCTGTTGAGCCTCTTGTGCCTCAAGGTTACAGGCGTAGCTTTTAGCACAATTTATGGGTAGCGCCGGGAAGCATCTCAAACGGGAGGTTGATGAACACATTATTAGTTGGCTCTAATGAGGCTCCGTAGCGTCGAAACTTCCATACCAGTGTGTCTGGGCATCTCGTCAAACTCGGTCATTTCACTGTCGAAAACTAGGTTTCCAAATTTGACCCAAGAATGATTGGTTCAGCGCTGATATCGAGACAAATGTGCATGTTAAACGTTAGGTAATCAAGAACTAGCAATGGGGTCAAACCACACTCATCTTTCACGTATATTAGCTCCTCAAAGATGAGGCTTTGCTTCCAGGTGCCGTAAAATTGACCATCTTCATATGCTCGGGCTCTGCTCTACAAAGACAGAAAAGAGCGGCGGAATGAGGGTTGCAAAATCATTGACGGAGACGAGGGCCTTAAGAAATAGTGATTGGCCTTTTGTAAGTGAGCTTATCAGCACTTCCAAGGTCGCCCGATGCCGTCAAGCCTCTACAGAATACTTTCCGAGGTCTTTCCGTCCAGCATCGACACTTTCCGACATCGGCTCTGGTCTTCACGCTCCAGAAGAGTAATCCATTCCTCTCTTTGAACATCAACCACCATCTCGGACCAAGTTAGCCCAAATCGTAAGATGGCGAAGCAACCAGTCTCACTGCTTGATCTGCTTAGCGCAGCGATTCATATACCAATGCTCCCCTCTTTGCTACATTTCCTATGCGTAGGCCTGATTCTGCTACGCTGAGTGGCCTTCCCACGATTCATGAGGGCCGTGGCGGGGGTCTCAATGCCTATCAGACTACATGCGATCACAAGAAGTGACCAAGAAGGCATGCCTGGCAAGCCCCGCAGGTACCGAGTTATCTACATTGGCCTTGTACCGAGAGTCACATTCCATACTAGCATCCAAACAGTTTCACTGGCCGGGTGCCCTTACCTCTTGATTGACTTATTCATATTTGGCGGAAGGCGTTCTGTGTCGCTATATCACAGAGGCAGGCGCCGTGTGTCGTTGAGGGCGGGACATCTGCCAACTTGTGAGAAGGCCGCCTCTCTATCAAGACCAAAAAAGTCAAATTGCCCAGTTTTTTAGAACATCTGTAGAGAGATACTTACAGAATCCAAAATATGCACCAAACTGAAGAATCACATCAAGAGTGATCATCGGGCTTCACTGACTTCAAGGACTAACCTGGGAAAGCTTCAGCTTCCAAAATAACTGCCGAATACCATGTAGATGATACAACAATAGGATAGCAGTGCTGTGTCATAAGCCACTAATCATTTGATGTAGTTACCTCGACAAGAGATGTTAATTTCATGAGACGTTCGGGTCGTGTTCATATCTAGATTGAACCTGAGAGTTCAGGAAGACAAGCATTCAAGTAGCCACAACCTCCATATGTTTCCAAGTCTTTAGTGAAAGCCCAATCATTGTACTGAAACTCATGCGCATCCTCCAAGTCAGTCTATATACATTGGAAGATTCTACATTAAGCACTCTTCTACCAAAGCCACTGGGGTCGCGAATCTCTCAGCGACGGAATGATGCATACATGTAGGATAGCCATGTTTTGTGCATCCTTGACTTGAGAAGGGCACCAATCCTATCAGCTCGGGGTCTAGCATGACCGATACTTTTAGGTTCTGTTTGTAAAAACACAAAATAAACACAGAACAAATCCTAACCGGTTGTCATTCCGGTAGTATTCGAGCAGGAATACTTATGGCATGAACAGCAGACATACAAGGTAGCGACGTGGACGCTCCTCGGCGAGGATGTAGTTGCGGAGCTTTTCAATGCCATCAACATCTGTCTGACTTCCCTACCAAAGCGTCAGCTTTCCTACCTTCGAATCTGCACCTCTTCTCCGTGCCTTCAGGCCATAACTCGTCATCGTCTTTTACCGAACACCAATCCAGGCAACCCCGGTCAACATAGATCAATTTATATACTCATTGATTGCTGCACGCGACTCTGACACGAACTCTTTCTGCTCTTGTTCTGGCCGTATGCTCGTCGGTCGTCGGGTCCTTCTAGCCTCCTCGATTACGTCTTAAATAGCTTGACGCGGATCTAGTCGATTGAGGAAGTTATTGATCTTTGAAACTCGAAAGGGCGTTTTGTACAAAATTGAGAAGGCAAGAATCAGTGAACGGATGATGACAGACCATAAAACACTGACTTTTATTGATTTCAATGACCATGACAAACTGACTGAGATGTTGCAAGGTATGCTCTGAAGTATGGTCGATTTCATGAGCCGTGTCAAAGATTGACGAGCTAAATGGCGGTCCCCACTTAGATCGACTCACGACTCTTCGTGAACCATGATGCCTGCCACTTCTGCCTAAGACCCGTGCTTTAGTGTATCGTGCTGGATTGAATCTTCGCTCAAAAATGTCTGTTGGTCGTGATATGTTGGAGGCCCATCTCGTGTCATGTGGATACATGCCATTCTCGGCCTAGCATTCAGCTTGTAGAGTTTAATCCGCCGCTTCTGCCTATCAACCAGGCTAGAGATGGCTCTTGAAAAGGTTCAAAAGGAATAGACAACTCTTCACCTGAGGCAATGTGATTAAATTACCAAAGACTCAACTGCTCGCAAGGCAAAAAACACACTCTCTCTATGATACCTCGACACGGATTGATTATTCTATTACTGAGCGTCTTGTCACTTGCTTCTGCACAATTCGCCTCGTCACGCAGCATGTGCTTGAAATCAAACGACTGCTCGGAACATTTCTGTGAGCACGAATGTCTCTTTAATGCAGCGTCAAACGGTGATACGCCACGACTAGTGGAACTCATCCTCAACGGAGCCGACGTCTCGCAGACATCGATGCCTGGCCGACACCAGTTGATCCACTTCACCGGACGGCCGGGAAGCGCAGAAGCCATGAAAGCCCTGCTCGACGCCGGAGCCGACGCTTCTGCAGCCTCCTACGACGGTCAAACGCCTCTGCACATGGCGGCTGCCGACGGCGGAATCGAGCAAGTGCGAATGCTCATCGAGGCCGGAACCAACGTCAACGCTCGTACCATGGACGACGAGACCCCGTTGCACCAAGCGGCCAGGGCTGGCGAGGAGGAAATCGCCAAGCTGCTCATCGCTGCTGGCGCGGACGTCACCGCCAGAGACTGCTACGGACAGTCGCCGCTGCATCATTCTGCTAGTCGTGGGCATCTCGGCGTGGTCCAGGTGCTTCTCGACGCCGGTGCCGACATGAGCGCCCTCAACAATAACGGAGACACGGCCGCCCTGCATTCCCTCTCCGACGCGCCGGCCTCGGTCAAACTCATGATACAAAAGGGCGCCGACATCTCCATCAGAGGCCAGGGCGGCGACACGCTGCTGCATCGAGCGGCCTCGTTCTCGGCGGAGCTGATAGGACTCTTGCTCGAGGCCGGCGCGGACCTCGAGGCGACGGATGACGAAGGAAAGACTCCCTTACACGCTGCTGCTGCGTGGGGGGACGCCGAACATGTTCGGATCCTGCTTGCAGCCGGGGCTGATATGGGTGCGAGGACCAACGACGGCGAGACGGCGCTGCACCTGACGGCGGGGAGCCCGGATGCCTTATTCCTGGGTTTTGGACATGAGTCTGATGCCAAAGCTAGGGTTCTCCTTGACGCTGGTATCGATGTGAATGCGCGGACGGTGTCAGGTCAAACGGCCCTTGGTCGGGCGAGAGAATGCAACCGCCCGGCGGTTGCAGAGGTGCTTCTTCAACAAGCAAGCGTGGAACCTTGATAGACATGGGACTGGTATTACCTTGTCCGCTACTGTGCCTGACAATCTGGGTTGATGAATAGAAGTTGGCCGAATCCTTCCTGTTGCTTGATGAATTTGCCGCTTGACTCCGTTTGATGTTGTTCTCTTCGCTCCACGACACAGGCGAATCACGCTATGATGGCTCACGTTATTTCAATGCAGACCAAAGTTGCCATTGAAGTTGTGAGAATTGAGAATAGATGATATTGGACAAGAGTGCACTTCTGCCTGGTGTATTAATATTGGATATTGAATGAACCCCGCCAAATTAATGGTCCCCGGGAAGCGCGGCCAATTAAGCACGCGAATTCCCCGCCAGCGCAGCTGGAGCTTACCTTGACCGGGACCTTTATTCGACCAGTGTAACCCGCAGTGACAGGGCAGTGGCCGTCCGAGACCTCCGAACCCTTGTGTCCCATGTTTCCGTACGGATACCTTAGCTTACCTTCATGTTGACTTTCCTCCCTCCACCTCCCGCCCTGATCAACCCTCACTTGACCACGTAGCACGCGACACACCCTCCAATCCGAGAGACGACAAGACGACTCGCATACGAACACCGCCAAACAATAGATGCAGACGCCATGAACAGCTCACGAGCGGGGAGACCATCAAAGTCTCCTCTGTTCTTGGTCCTCGCCGCAATCCTCATCTTCGCAGTAGCCGTTGAGGCCTCGTACGGCGATCGGTTACCAGAGTTCCGAGAATGCGTCCAAGTTGGTGCCCACCACATATACACACAGGCGCGCGTGCAATCTTCTGCCCGCGCTCGCAAATAGCAATGCTTGAGAAAACTCTCTAGTGTCTCTTGTGACTGACATACTGCTCTGCGCTTCCCCCGCGATCCAGGTCTGCCACGATGAGAACTGCGCTCCTGGCAAAGATGCTACACCAATCCGTACGTTTCTCCCCCCTTACCAACCCCCGTAACGCAAGGGGATCAAACAGCTAAACTATGACGTTCCTACCAACAGCCTTCCACCGTCGCCTCCTCCTCTGGACCTGCGCCTCCGAATGCGACTACACCTGCCAACACATAATCACAAAAGAGCGCCTCGCCGCCGGTGAGCGCGTAGTCCAATTCCACGGAAAATGGCCCTTCCCCCGCATCCTGGGCATCCAGGAACCCGCCAGCACCCTCTTCAGCCTGGGCAACCTCTGGGCCCACCAGAACGGCTGGCGAAAGCTCCGCGCCGTCATCCCGGCGTCGTACCCGCTGCGGCCCTGGTACGAGTGGCTCGCGGGCGTGGGCATCGCCTCGTGGACGTTCAGCGCAATTTTCCACACGCGCGACTTTGTGGCCACGGAGCAGCTCGACTACTTTGCTGCGGGCGCGAGCGTGCTGTACGGGCTGTACTACACCGTGGTGCGCATCATGCGCCTCGACCGGCCGACGCCGCGCCGGAGATCGGTCCTGCGCGCGTGGACGCTGCTGTGCGTGCTGCTTTACGCCGGGCACATTGCCTACCTCAAGGGCGTGCGTTGGGATTACACGTACAACATGACGGCAAACGTCATTATTGGCGTCATTCAGAACCTCATGTGGTTGTGGTTCAGTTTGAACAAGTACAGGCAGTCACGGAGGACGTGGGCTATCTGGCCGAGTATTGTTGTCGCCGTTGTCGTCATGGTTATGAGTCTGGAGCTATTTGACTTCCCGCCTGTGTGGGGTGCTCTGGATGCGCACAGTTTATGGCACCTTGGCACGATACCGCCAACGGTACTGATGTACAAGTAAGTCGGCAGTGACACTGGAACTGGCTTGCTGAGTTGACTGTTGACACTTGACTAGCTTCCTGATCAAGGACGCGCAGGACGACATGGCGGGAAGTGAGAGGTTAAAGTCTTGAGCTGGTATACGAGTTTCGAATGATCACACCAAGGCGTGCTGCCTATCTGGGAGAATGAAAAAAGAACGGAAGTGGAAAGACTGCTGAGCCGAGGACTGGGTGCCAGCCAGGAAGCTTCAATGAGGTATGAAATAACGGGGCCAGGCCGCAGAGGCAGAGCATCACGCTACAAAAAGACCGTGTAACCTTTGGCAAGCATCCGTGGATTATGTTGAATGGTCTATTTGGCCATGTTGTCCAGTCTCCAATTAGGCCGGTATGGTAGAGAATAATATGTAACGAGTATGACAGCTTCTCTCTGGTAAGCAATACTAGTATAGTATCGTATAGTATAGTGTAGTGTGGGCATTGTTTCCCGTCCACGCAATCTCAAAAAGCTTCCTATACGCAACAGCAACAATTTCACGACTTGGATACAACACAAGCGACCCCCTTGCTCGACTCAACATCCCCTTAGATGTTCTTTCTTATACACCAACAATCACAGTCTCGGTCTTGAAGACCTGAATGGCACCGTCGCCCCAGATACCAATAACAGACAGCAGGAAGCCGACCGAGGCAACGGCCGACTGCACGAGCTGCGTCTTCCTGAACCCGTCCACCTCGCCGCGGACCTCCTCGCCGTTGAGCGCCTCCTCCTCGGCCTCAGCAGCCGCAGCCGAAGATGACTCGTCGCCGCTCGCGCTGCCGGCGCCGTCGCTGTGGGTGTCGCCGAGGACCTCGTAGCTGGCCTCCATACGCGCCTCCTGGCGAGCGAGGCGCGCGGCCTTACGCTTCTGCTCGCGGTCGCGGGCGGCCTGGCGGCGGGCGGCGATGGATTCCTTGGAGGACTCGGGGCTGCTCTTGAGGACGTAGGGGGTAATTTGCTCGGCGAGACCAGAGGTGAGTGTGAGGACGGAGGCGTAGACGAGGTAGGGGTGGCGGAAGGCGCGCGGGGAGAGGAAGAAGGCGAGGAGGAAGGAGGTTGCGGATACGCCGGTGAGGAGGCGGAGGCGGGCGGTCGCGCTTGGGTAGAGGTTCTTGAAGGCGCGGAGGGCGTCGGAGGCGGAGGGGAGAGAGAGGATCGAGGGGACTGTTACGGTTGAGAGGGAGTAGGAGAGGCCCTGTTGCGCACGCGTGCGATGTTAGTATCCGTTGAGACTGACTTGGACGTGAAGCATTTCATGATTTGGGGTGGAGGCTGGTTCGGCATCCCGGAGTGTCCTGAATGCGGGGAGTGGACGGGGGAGGGGTGGATGGGGATGGGGATGGGATAGTGGCGTCACTGATGATGGTCCGATGGTGAACCGAGCTACGCGGGGAGAGCGGTGAAACGTACAGTGAGAAGACCGAGGGAAACAGTTCCCACGAACTTCAGGAGGGAGACTCCTTTGGAAGCCATGGTGGCTGGTGCGGAATTCGTAGGGGTTTCGGGAAGAAGGCGTTGGAGGTGGGCGGTCGATGGGAGGATAAGATGTAAGGTCGAAGTTCGTGAAGGTATGAGGTAGGTATGGGATGTGTCGTCAAACTATCGGGCTTCGCTGGTCCGGCTGCTGACCGACAAGGCGGGGCGGGGAGGGGCGGTATCACTCTTTGTTGGACTGGAGTGACTGGGAACCTGATGTGACCTAGGTTCTGGGGGTAGGTAGATGGTTTCCGGCCTGACCAGTTAGGCGTCACAGGATGGTAAGATGTTTTGGGTAGGTGGAAATGGCCGGATTGATTGATTGACGCTGACGCTCATTGACGACGTTTCCCGCCTTGCCGCTTGCCGCTCTTTCGCGCGGGAATAAGTCCTGAAAAAGAGAGGGGCTGTTTCCTTTGCTTGTTTGGCGGTCATCTGGTTGGTTGGGACTGCGAGTGGGTACCTGTAGTGGAGTTTCCCGTCAGTGGTATGGGGCATCATGAGCTTAAATTACCCGTGCACCTTGCATTAGTCCCGAAGCTGGCCCGAGGTTGCACAAACCACCTTGTCTTGCCTGCACAAAGAGCATAATCATGTCTTGTTATCTGGACCTGCCTTACCTTATCTTGAAACGCGCAGAATGCCTTTCTCTGCTCACAGGATCAAGATGACAGCATCTACTCTCCTTTCTACAGCGAGAAAAAAGCTCATGCTTCACAGAAGGTCGGCCTACCAGTATCGATTTTGGAGAGAGCCGACGGAAGTTCGAAGCAATTGGCCGTAGGAAACATGACGTTATGCTTGAAGATAGAAAGGGAAAACTATGACATCGTCGATGCGATTCAAGGGTCACTCGAATCGAATTAATCCAGCTCAGCAAATATCTCCAGCTCTCTCCATGTTCGAAGTCTAAACCTTCGATGTGTCTTCACTTCTTCACTCATCCTTCTCAATCGGCCTTCTCGCGTGGATCACCCAGCTGTTCCTGATTAGCTAACATCCAGACGCAAGAGCCCCAAACTAGACGAAAGACAAATAGACTTACAGAGACGAGTATGCGTGTATCCTTCTGTCCTTCAATTCATTTCTGACTTGAATGAGGAAGATCTGAACCTCCTCCTTGGTCCAATTGAGGGCTCTCGTGAAGGCAGCCAAGCTCCAGCCTTCGAGACCCTCCATAAAGTTCTCGAGGCACCACTCGCCAAGCTCCTTGTAGTATGGGTCCTTTGCCCAGGGGCTGACGGGCCATTTATACTTGACTACCTCCACATCGATAAAGCCGGTCTCCTTGAGGAGAGGTACCAGGCCTGGAACGTCGATGTAAGGGCGGCCAAAGATCTTGGAGGCCTCTTCGATCTTGTCTACCCACTTGATGAGGGCGTTCTCCGATGTCAATGTACCATCGTCGCAGTCGGGCCTCATGTGGCCCTCAAACAGCTCGATGTAGCCGCCAGGGGTCAGATGACTACGGCCAAGTTAGTATGCCAACTCATGGGATTGAGCTGAGAGGTTGTTGGAAACATGGAGACTCTGCTTACTTGTAAGCCTTCTCGAAAAACTTTTTCCAATCACTAATACTCGAGGTCATCCCGCGAATGTGGATGTAGTCGAAAGGTTGGCTGTACGTCCAGGGCTCCTCGATGTCATCGACCTCGAATTTGACGTTGGGCGGAACACTAGTCACAAGTTAGCAATTATGCTCAAGCGGAATGCCAAATCTAAAAAAGCCATACAATGCAGTTGGCACTGGAGTGAGGTCAACTCCAACCACCTAGTAGTATCAAATCAACAACGTGGCTCAAGCGAGACTTCGAGTTTATGGATCTCTAGTTACCTCGGCTTCGGGATGCTCATCACCGAAATCAATAGCCCACAATCCGGTTCCGGTTCCTACGTCGAGGACACGCTGAGCCTTGAGGTTGTCGTTGGGAGGGGCCAGGCCTAACTTGTAGTTGAGGCTGAGTAGGTAAATGTTGTGTTGAAGATCTAGGTGGAGGGGGTTCGTTAGACGGCTGTGTGCATAAGTACCAGGGGCGTAATATACCGAGTCTGTCGTTCTCCTTCTCGTCGTTAGGGTAGTGGTATTCTTGGCTTTACTTAGTCTTATCACGCCTGTGAATTGGGAAGCGGTGAAACTTACTGCCATCCTTGTACTTGTGATACGTCCGCCCGTTCTCGATGCGATGTTGCAGAATAGAGCTGGCTAGACTCGTGCTGGAAGACGCAATGCTCTAATTTCATTAGATTCTTCTATTGCCACACGAAATTAAGACATGAAATAAAAGCCCTACAGTTGCTCTGTCCGACGAGGTGTCATCGGTGAGCTGTGATATCGTCAGCATCAGGTGATTAAACTCCGGAGAGCACCTTACATCATCATCTGGTGCTACAACGGGGCCATCCGCAGGCGTAGGGTTGGTCGGGCTGAGCCCATCAGTAGGCGCCGGAGGCACGGGACTGGTAGGATTCTCAGACATCACGACAGATGAGTTCTGATACAATTGCGCAGAGTGTAAGGCCAGTGGGTGATCGATTCAGTCTGCGGCGCTCACTGTCTGAAGCTCGTCAAGATTTGGAAAGTGACGAGCGACGCGCGACGGCACGAACCATCATTTATCCTCTCTGTGAAACCAACGAATGCTACCCCTCTTCTAGAATGGAGACAATTATGCATGTTGGCAATGTTGGTGGCAAGGATTCGGTTTGCTCGTGGGGACTCGGAACAGCCTGCTTCCAACAAGCAAGGGTTCTGAACGTATCAGAACCAACTGCCAATTTCCCTCTAAGACAAAAGCAGCAGGAGTCCAAAGGCGTGGCGAATCATTCAATCCCGTTCGGTCCTTGTCTATTTCCAGTTGCAGACTGTGAAGGACCCAGCCAGGGCCGCGGCTTTGGGCCGTTTGAGAGACAACGAATCGCCCGATACAGAGTTCTTCATCGATGGTATGTGGGCCCTGTGAAATTCTCACGATTTACGAACTCGCAGGCATGAAGTGTATTAAAACCATTTCAACCTTCCTAACTTTCTTTTCAGCGACTATTAACTCTTTCTCTAACAAATAAGGCCCCGTGACGCGTCTGCCTAGTCCATCAATCCGTTTCCGGCACTGCCTCAGGCTTGCGTCCATGTACCAACTGACTGTCGACTGTCAGAGAATATAGAGCAGAAACAAGTAGACTGAAGTCACTTACATGGGAATATACGCGTGGATATTCCTGTTCCTTAGATCGTTGCGAACACCGATGAGGAAGACATCAACCTCTTCCCGGGTCCACTCGAGAGCTCGAGTGAAGGGTGCAAGGGTAAAACCCTCAATCCCGTCCATGTAATTCTCGTGGTTAAACTGGCCGAGGGTCCGGTAATGCGGGTCTTTCGGCCAAGTGTTGATGGGCCACTTGAAGGTGCTGTACGTGACGTCGACGTAGCCCACCTCCTTCATGACTTCCACGAGGCCCGGCACATCTGCAAAGGGACGGCCAAAGATGTTGCAGGCCTCCTCGATGTGATTTGCCCACTGGGATAAGGAGTGCTCCTTGGTTAAGGTGCCATCGTCGGACAAGGGTCGGACGTGACCCTCCTGCATCTCGAACCAACCCCCAGGCTCAAGATGGCTGGTGGAACATTAGCCGACGGCATTAGTGGAAACAAGAGGAATTCTCACTCAAAGGCCTGCTTGAATAACCTCTTCCAGTCGGAGACAGATGATGTCATCGCACGGCAGTGGATGTAATCGAAGGGCTGATGGTATGTCCAAGGCTCTTCTATGTCATCGACCTCAAATTTGACGTTTGGCGGAACGCTGAATACCGTCAGTACTACAATCACATTACTTGAAAACGTGCAGCTGATTCATACGCAGTTGTTTGTGTAGGTGAAAGATCCACTCCGTATACCTGGTAATCACTTCAGCTCTCATGGGTAGGATTCAATGACAACGAGACATGCTCACCAGTGCCTCCGGATGTTCGTCGGCGAAGTCAATGGCCCAGATTCCCGTGCCAGTGCCAATGTCAAGCACCCGCTTGACTTTAGAGTCGGGCTCATTCGGTGGAGCAAGTCCAAGCTTGTCGTGAAGAGTGAGAAGGAAGAGCTCATGTTGGAAATCTGGAGAAAAGATGGGTGTAAGCAGTGTCACACGCAAGGGCCAGGTCCGGAGGGGGAGGTATGCTTGTGGCACATACCTAATCGATCGTTCTCCCGCTCATCATTGGGGTAGTTGTATCCTGAAGTTGTTAGAATACTAATAGATTGGAGAGAGAAACGAGGGCATAGCACGCACTGCCCTCTTTGTATTTGTGGTATGTTCTCCCGTTTTCGATACGATGTTGGAGAATCGAACTGGATAAGCTCGTGCTTGAGGATGCTATACTCTAAGGGAGAAAGTCAAGCCTGAGCGTTGCTCAAGGAACTGAGTCTGTGCCATTTTCTGCTCACCGACAATCTTTCCGACGAGCTATCATCTGTGAACTGCGGAAACCGTTAGATTGACATATTCTCTTCAGAATAAGAGCAGCTTTCTTACTTCATCAGCCACAATTACCGGTCCATTATTGGCCGGGGGCGCGTCTTGGTCGTTGCACATGTTCGTCGCTGAGTGTCAAAGTCAGAATAATAAGTGTATTGCTGGCTGACCCAGCTGTTGCAGAGAAAATAATACGACAGAAGAACCCAGTGGATGTGAATCATTTATCTAGGTATGAGGGACGAGAATGCTACCCCTCTTCTTGCCCCTGTCTACATGCAGGATTGTGGCAAGGGGAAATACGTGGGTACTGGCCGCTTCCAACAGGATGGATGCAGTTTGCTTTACGCGCGCATAGAATGACAGGGCAAACAAGAAGCCATATGTGATAGAAATAGTTCGCTTAGAACCCCTGATAGGTCCAATTGTTCCAGCCACAGATATCGGTCGTTACGACGGATAGATTGGGCGGTCCGAGAGATGGTTCAAGAAAGTTTTACACACGAAGGCATGGGCACTTCCTTTAGCGGCTGCATGATTTGACAATTTATGTGAAGATTCAGTCTTCGGCATTTGTCTTCTAGTCTCCTAACGCTTTGAGCAGATTTCAGGGGCCGCAGTTTATCCCTTCACGAAGTGACGAATAGGAAGGCTTTAATACGTGAGGTGAGCCATAGGAGAGAATCATAGTCACATTGAATTGTCTGTGTATAGATGGAAAAGTGCCTGCTATAGCGTCGTTTCTTACTCTTGCGTCGCTGGCTCCTCCGTCGCTGTTGTCTTCTTCTTCTCTCCAGGTTTCCTTCCGTAAATTGAGTAACTTTCTCCTGAGTCAGTTTCTATTACTTTGGTCTGAGAGATGGAGACATTGAACTTACATTGGCCAGTAGGCATGAATGTTCCGGTTCTTCAAATTGGACCGTACCTCGGCCAGGAAGACAAAGACCTCCTCTTTCGTCCAGTTCAGGGCTCGGGTATAGGGCGCCAAAGTCCAGGCCTCCAGACCTTCCATGAAGTTGGCATGCGTCCAGGTCCCGATCTCTTTATAATGAGAGTCCTTGGGCCATTCATTGATGGGCCACTTGTAAGTCTCAATAGTTACATCGACGAATCCGACTTCTTCCATTACGGCTACGAGACCAGGGATGTCGACAAAAGGCCGGCCGAAAATCTCCATCGCCTCACCAAGAAGCTTCAGCCACTTCGTCATTGCATGATCTGGTTTCAGGGTACCGTCGTCACAATGAGGGTGAAGGTCGGCTTCTTGGATTTCCAGATACCCGCCAGGCTCGAGATGTCTGTCGAGTTAGTCCACATCTACTGACCCTCAAGTTTGAACTTACTTAAAGGCTTGTTTGAAAAGCTTGCTCCAATCAGACACGCTGGATGTCATCATCCTTGTGTGGATATAGTCAAATGGCACATGATACGTCCATGGCTCCTCAATATCATCAACTTCGAACTTGGCGTTGGGAGGAACTCTGTGACGGGTCAGTGTTGAGCACCGGGGGCTAGCTTTGGGCATCCAAGGACTATAAGACTTACGCTGACGTCTGAACAGGCGAGAGATCAACGCCATAAACCTGAGCTGTTGATAAGAAAATGAATCAATCATAAGCAGGAGAGGTGTTTTATGCGTACCTCGGCCTCGGGGTGTTCATCTGCAAATTCGATCGCCCAAAGACCAGTGCCAGTACCGACATCGAGAACGCGCTTGACGCCAGAATCTTGCGCACTAGGCGGGGCGAGTCCCAGCTTGAAGTGAAACGTAAGAAGGAACAAGTTGTGCTGCAGGTCTAGATGCAGTGTTAGACGAGTTCACAACAAGAGCGTTAGATTAATGACGCTTACCCAGTCTATCGGATTCTTTCTCGTCGTTGGGCCAATGGTACTCTGTACATGTCAGAGTTTTCACTACTTACAACTTATGAGCCTCGTGGCCGGCGCCTTACTGCCATCTTTGTACTTATGGTAGGTTCTGCCATTTTCAAGTCGATGTTGGAAGATGGAGCTATTCAAGCTGGTGGTCGATGATGCGAAGCTCTGAGGTGGCTATCAGTCAAGCTTCCGGGAATAGTCTCAAGTAATGAGAAGCATTGCTTACAGATCCGTGGTCTGAAGAACTATCATCCCATTCCTAGTCGTGTTGTTAGAATCAATCGGTCTACCGTGGGGGCTCACGTTGTATTACCCTCTCTTCAGCGACGATGACAGGGCCTGCGGCCACTGGGCGAGCGGTCTCAGCGTTACTCATTGTGAGATCTCACACAGACGCCTGCTGAAAGTTTGCAAATTTTCTCAATTCCGAAGAAATCATTTCTTTCGTTTTCCGGTGCTCTTTCGCGACTTTTATGAGTTCTGAGGGCGCTCATGTTACCCCTCTCTTTGGCTGGGGGTAGATTCTGCATGTTGGCGGCACAGATGCAGCTTGCTCGTGGAGACGAACTTCCTGCTTCCCGAAAGATCACTCTCGGACGTATGATTTCTGCAATGAGATCCATAGGTTGGATATACGACAGCAATAGGCCCTGTGGGTGCTTGGCGGATCAGTAATGGGGGTACGTTCCCCTGTGGTACCCAATCGTTTCACTTCGCCGAGCCGCGGATTTGAGCCGCTGCATATTTAGGTGTGGTGGGAAGACGATGTTGTGACAGGATGTCTTCACGTATTCTCGTTTCGGGTCATGCGAGGTGGCGAGTGTTGCTCTTATCGCTACCTAACCAGGCACAGAGGCAGGCAGGAAAGCACCGGTTGATAGGCGCGGATATTCATCTGCCATGATTATTTTGCCCCGTAGCGAAACATCCCGATCACAGCATGTGCTCATAACCCAATTGCAAGGGGTTTGAAAGAGACCTTACCGCCGCCATGTTCTCGGGAAAACAAACGTTGAAGAAGTTGCAGAATCGAGACGCTATGAGTTCCATTCCTCTGGGTTTGATACTAGATGTCATATCATTCGGAATGAATTGGTATACTAAGCAATTGACCTCCAACATAATTCAAGTTGCGTGTCGAACCGGTTCAACGAGCAATGCATAGAGGCAACCAACACTTGAAGGCAGGTGGCGTGGTAGAGCCTGCCCGGCCTGAAGGGAACGTTTGGGGCAGGTGTTTACGGGGAGACGGTCGTTGATTCCGAGCGACATGAGGAACTCGCGCTAAATTAGACCCCGTGCGGGAGGGTTAGGTGCGTTTGGAGGCTGGAAGGAGAGAACTGGTGCTCTCTTCCCTCTGTTCTCCCTCGCCCACCAATCAGCGGCGCCTACCCCAACTTGTGTCTTGGGGTTCCCCGTGATCCCATCGTGGCCGAGCTCTGGATGAGTCAGCAGCGGAATAACTAATCATTTAGGTTTGAGAAGCCGCGGAAGGCTCCGTACTCGGTGTCTATCCTTACCTTCCGTTGCCGAGGTCCCAAGGTCCGACGCGCTACCACCGCCTGCCATCTGAGCTGCGCTTTGCCGTGGCCGTTGCACAACAAGACATCGTACCAACCGGACTCTTTTTGGTTTCTTCTTCATCGTGTAACATAAAGGTTCGACATTCGTGCAGCCTCCGATATCTTTGTGCAGCCAACGGATCCACCAAACGTCCATCGTCAAGGTCCCCAAACAACCAGCTTCTATCGCCTTAATCTCGTGGAAACAGGGTCCCACACGTCATCATCTCGAACCACCTGTGATACCTTGTTCATTGTCTCTGTCCCATCCCTCATCACCCACATCTGGTCCCTGCAAACATGCCTATTCCCGAGTCCGAGTATTTGAGTCCGGTCTGGAAGGACGGCATCTTTAGTGAGTGGCTTCCGGACATCGTCTTTTGTCTGCTGCAACCCCCGTCAATACTAACTGTCTTGTGCAGACAACAGAGTCGCCTTTGTCACCGGCGGCGCTGGAAGCATTTGCAGCGCTCAAACTCGTGCTCTTGTCCGCCTAGGAGCAAATGCCTGCATTATCGGCCGCAATGTCGAGAAGACAGAGTCCATGGCGAAGGACATAGCCACAGCTAGGCCCGGTGCAAAGGTCATCGGTATTGGCGGTTGTGATGTGAGAAATGTATGTACTCTTCAACACGCATTCCTTCAAGATATATTGCGGCTAATAATTTATATCTAGCCCCAAAGTCTGCAAGACGCCGCAGATCGATGCGCCAAGGAGCTCGGCGGCATCGACTTTGTCATGTAAGCGCCCGATTCACAAGGGTCTCATCCTGGGGCAGACTGCTGACACCCTTATTACCAACAGTGCGGGAGCTGCTGGCAACTTCATCGCACCCTTGTCCGGCATGAGCCCCAATGCATTCAAGGCGGTCATCGATATTGATGTCTTGGGCACTTTCAACACTGTGAAGGCTACCATTCCCTACCTGGTAGAGTCGGCAAAGAAGAACCCAACGCCCAGCCAAAACGGCCTGACCGGAGGCCGCATCATTTTCGTCTCTGCCACATTCCACTGGACAGGTATGCCGCTGCAAGCACATGTCTCAGCCGCCAAAGCAGCTGTCGATGCTCTCATGGCATCGGTTACGTTGGAGTATGGCCCGTTCGGAGTCACGAGCAATGTGATTGCCCCCGGGCCGATCAAGGATACGGAGGGCATGCAACGGCTGTCCAGTAGCAAGCAGGACCAGGCCAAGGCCAACGCGGTTGTGCCGCAGGGTCGGTGGGGCGTCATCCGGGACATTGCCGATTCCACCGTCTACCTCTTCAGCGACGCCGGTAGCTTCGTCAACGGTCAGGCAATCCCTGTTGACGGCGGTGCCTGGAGACGCCAGGGTGCGCTAGCGGTTGGAACAGACGACGACATGCAATACCCGGATTTCCTTCTGAAGGGAGAAATCTCAAAGCACGTAAAGAGCGGCCGAAAGACGGAGTCGAAGTTGTAATCGACATCGAGACATCGGCCGTGGTGGGGTCGGAAGGATCACCTCCAGCAAGTCCGCGGACAAAGGAATCCCATCGACCGGGGGTGGAGAGATTGTAAGTTGACATCGCAAGGGCGTGGCTGTTGACCCGCCCAGAGCTTGTTAGATATATCAAAGAACCGCAGGAAATGACACTATATTGAACGAACCAACAATCGTTTATCGAAATATCTAGGATCTTTGGCATTTTGTACAATCCTACCTTACGTTTTATCAATCAATACATCCAATCCTTGAGTAAAGCGGCTATCGGCACCACAATTCTTCTCAGGCTACTAAGATACATATCTCCCAGCCGCCGACAGGCCGAGCCGCCCCGCGGACGGGAGCGGAGATGCTTGCTGCTGCAAAGCAACACACTTTTTTTTTTCTTACCGTGTCGGTCACCAAGCCAACTAATTAGCGTCTTCCAAAGACCGGACAGGGTGCGGCGCACTCAAGCTTTTTGAGCCAAGCCGGCATCCACATCCCTCGACCTGCAGATGATAGCTTACCTTTGGCGGGGCCTTCAGGAACAGCTTGACTAATTGGCCACACGAATTGCTACGCAGACGTGAGTGGCATGGTGGTGGCATCCATCCATTTCCGCCGTCGCCCGCCATGCGGATAAGCCGCAAGACTCACCCGCTCGCGCCGCCTACGGTTGCAGTGAAATCGTACTTTTTGACTGCAGAGTGATAGGACCTGGCCCGGTGGATGCTGATCCATGGGCCTAGTGTGTTTTTATTTGAACCCTTCTCTTGTTACCCCTCCTTTATCGCCAACCATCGACTGGCCCAGAGCAATGAAGCGGGTCGAACCATGCTAGGGACTGGGGAGGAGGAATGGAACATCTGTCGCTGAACAATGTGTGGGCTGCAGGATTTCTTTGAAGGCGACTCCAATTTCTTGAAGCGTCGAAAAGTCCGACTGTCGGTTGTGACATAAAAGGGCCGGCGGTACCCGGCTTCGCGAGGGGCCTCGAAGCCACTCCTGATCGTCTTAGTCTCTTCAACTCTCGTGAGGTTTATTTGAACTGCTGACGGGCCGTTGATTTTATTGCTTTTCTTCTTCACAGGAATTGCAACCCGGCTTTAAGCTTATCTCACCGGCCGTTTAGACACTTCGGCGGGTACTCGATTTGTGTGCAGCAAGTTGCTGATAGTTGAATTGGTTAACATCGAGTAAGTGGAGGTTTCTACTTGTTGTTTTCATGCATACATCAGTTTTTATAGCCAGTGGACATGAGTAACACCAGCAGAGCTAACACTCTCATAGAGCCCAACAACACATCGCAAAAATGGGACTTAAGCACCTCCTGGCAATGGGCCTGCCCATCATGCCCGCGGCCGCAGAGACCGTTCTCGGTATCTACGTCTTCCACCGCCACGGCGACCGCACGGCCAAGAAGACGCCCCCCGTCCGCTTCACCGACCTCGGCGCCTACGAGGTCTACACCTCCGGCCTTGAATACGGCCGGCTCTACGTCCGCGAAAACGCCACCCACCAGATCCGCAACATGAGCACCGACGACGTCCTCCCGGAGCAGCTCTCCGTCACCTCCCCCACCGACGTCGTCCTGCAGTCCTCGGCCAACGCCTTCCTCCAGGGCTTCTACCCGCCCTCCGGCACCGTCGAGGCCCTCGCCAACGGCTCCAGCGTCGAGGCGCCCCTCGGCGGATACCAGTACATCCCCGTCAACGCCGTCGCCACGGCCTCCACCAGCACAAACGCCGAGAGCAGCGAGTGGCTCCAGGGCGGTAGCGGCTGCGGCAAGGCCGTCGTCAGCTCCAACAACTACTTCTCCTCGCCAGAGTACGCCGCCGTTGACGCCGAGTCCCGCGACTTCTACCAGAACCTGCTGCCCGTCATCAATGGCACGTTCGGCGCAAAGGCCGCCACCTTTGAGAACGCCTACTCCATCTTCGACCTCATCAACGTCGCCAGGATCCACAACGACAGCATCCCCTCCGATTCCCTCCTCACCAACGCCACCGTGCGCTCGCTGACCGACTACGCCAACATCCACGAGTGGAACCTCGCCTACAACGAGAGCGACCCCATCCGCGCCATCGCCGGCAAGGTGCTGGCCGGCCAGGTCCTCCAGGCCCTCAACGCGACGCTCAAAGACGCCGCAAAGTCCTCCTCCGTCAAGGCCAACATCCAGTTCGGCGCCTACGCCAGCTTCTCCTCCTTCTTCGGCCTCGCCCAGCTGCAAAAGGTCTCGGCTGACTTCCAGACCGTCGTCGACTACGCCTCCTCCATGGTCTTTGAGCTCGTCACCAATGCCACCTCCGCCAGCCCCGCGGCCGACGACGTCGCTGTCCGCTTCCGTTTCGCTAACGGCTCCGCCGGCATCAACAACCTCACCGTTTACCCTCTCTTTGGACAGTCCGAGACCGTGCTTCCGTGGAACACGTTCGTCACCCAGATGCGTCAGTTCGCTGTCGAGGATACCAAGACATGGTGCACCGCCTGCGGCAACTCCACCGGCACCTGCGCCACGGCTCTCGGTCTGGGTGGTAGCACCGATGCCAATGGAACCGGCTCGAGCGGTAGCAAGGGAGGCGTCTCGACCCCCGTGGCGGGCGTCATTGGCGCACTGGTGACGCTGGTCGTGATCCTGGGCATCCTCGGCCTCGTCATGCTGATCGGTGGCTTGCGTTTGGTCAAGAAGTCCAAGATCGCAAAGGATGTCCCTGCCGCTTCTACTGCGGAGCAGACTGGTGGTGCCAAGCACTAAGCACGTAATGTAAGAAACGATTGTGTGCGACCAAGTGTTCACGATGGATCTGTGATCGATAATGAGACACGATGATTGTATCGTGAATAGTAGTCCCAAGCGGACATGTGCTACCTTAGTAATGAGATGTTGATACCACCCTTTTACTCAAGAGACTACCCGTTTTCCTTGCCCTGTGATAAATATGCTCTGCGTAGAGGGGGCGACCCAGGGTAATCGTCCTATATCACAGTGTATTAGAGCGCCAGAACCTCCTCTGAGCGCGCGGCTTCATCACCATGGTCACCATTCCAAGCGACTGTGTTCCATCTATGGGTGTTCTAGGGACTCGCAAATGCGAGAGGTGTTGTCGGTTGTCCGCTGCCCCCATCCGAGCTACCCAAGTCCTTCGAAGAAGACCCCTCCACCCCCAACGGGGCAGCCTACGCCCTCAAGTCTCTCAACTCGACCAAGTTTGGGTTGTCATCTCTGTCGACTTCAGTCGGGTCGGAACTAGATAGTGTGGTTCCGCGCATTCTCCTGTCATTCGATCGGGCAGATCGCTCCCTGGTAATGTCTGGCGATGCGATCTCCGCGCCTCGAATTTCTATCCCCTGGACGGTAGGAAAATCTCGACGTGAGCAGCAAGTGTGCTAGCTTGCTACTGATGTTTCGTTCATACCGTAAATTACGGCGTCGACAAGTCCCTGGATCACGATGCAAGCTTGGTCGACGTTTTGCAATGCGAATGGTGCCGGCTTGTTCGTACTTGCTTGGTATATCCGGATGGCAGTTGGGATAGTCCAGACGATGGCATACGCGAGCGGATACAAAAGTAACAGGCGAGCAATCTGGAGCAAGGTCAGTCATTTCTTCTTCGCTGCCTTGGAGCATCACGTCTTCTTGCCCTTTTGAGCCTTCTGATGGAAACCATGGATCGGCCTTCCAGTCCTTCGTGAGTGCTTGCTGCCCTGCTCCCATCTTGTGTCGAGTAACCGGACTCTAGATGCCCGGGAGACTCCTGCATCGAACTTAACCTGTTCTGAGCTCTGAAAAGAATGAGGGCGAGGTATGCATATAGCGCAAACATGATGGTGATGATTATCCCTAAGGGCATGTTAATCGTAGATCCCACGTCGTTTATATCGTATGTGACTCACATCGAGGAACGAAGTTGGCGAGCAGCCTCGTTTTGTCCGACTTGAACCAGCACCCTGCCCGCCTAGGTCAATGACACGAAAGTGCTTTGACTTGGTCACGAACACTCACAAGCCCCGATGCTGTGGTAGCCATCCAAACCGAGGCCCACAGAAGCCCATAAGACCGAGAAGAACCACGGAAGTCCCCAGATGACGACTTCGTGGTTCTGCACCCAGCTGGCTCGCTTTCTTTGGCCAGTCAGGATAAAAAACGTACAAATGGCGATGCTTAGGACCCAATAGTCGGTTTGGATGACGAATACCTGAGCCATGAAGCCGTTGAGCTTACAAAAGTCGGTTTGTTCAGGATCATCGATAAGTCTGCCGCTAAGATTCATCGTTGTCGAGCAGATGAAGTTGAAAGCCATGAGAAAGTCACTGGTCGCAAGTCCGATGATAAGGCGGTGACGGAAAGATCGCAGGTTCGGGAAGATCTGAAGTGCTTGTCAGTTTTCTGGACATTGCTGACTGATTCGGCGTGGGGGTTGACCCAGTAGCTGGCCATGATGAAGGCAGCACCACAAAGCGACAAAATTGATACAACAAGGATAACAACGCTCTCTATTCGAACTTCCTCTACGGTAGGAGGTTGGTCTAGTCCGCTTCCATTGCTTGTACTGTTTTGGAGAAACATGACGACATGTGAGTACTTGTGAGTGCGCACCGCCGGAGTCCGTCTGCCTTAAAACCTGTCTCACAGGTGGCGAGGTTGGGTCTCTTATTGCTGATGTAGTCGAAGCTGGAGTTGTTGCGGCCGTACGCTTGGGCTGCTTTACGTTTGGCGATGATGTCTGGCTTTGCTCGTTTGACGACTTCATCTAGAATGTTTGTTTGACGTTGTTTAGGCAATTTTGGCTTCCGGACCGATGGTGAAAGTGAAGGTAGCCATATCTTCGAAAAGGAGATCCAGGCAAATGGCAGCTTCGACAGCAAAGGAAACAGCCATTGAATTCCTCCAGCGATGGAAGGCGGGATTATCGCCCCGATCTTACTATTTGTGCCTCCTTCCCATGAGGTACACACGGAAGGTCATAGGGTGTCTAGCGTGGGGGTTTCGGGGTCGGGTGGTAGGAAGGATAATTCGACATCGCAGAGGTCTTGGTTTTAGGGGCAGCGACGTTAGTATCACCACAAAACCCAGGCAGATAGGGATTTGTCATTATAAATATGAACATGAGAGAATATGTGGCCGAGGAACCGAAGACGAGTAGACAGAAGAAGAACAAGAGGTGGAAGTTCTCATGCAAGCGGGTGTCATCGGGCGTGGTCTTGTATGACTTCATGTTCGCCATATCAGCACCTGCCACTTGCTCAATAGTGAAGAGAACAGATCTCGTGACTGATCATCGGCTCGCAAAACATCAAGTACTCGGGGGGAATGACATCTTCGGGCGCTTGCAGATGCGTTTTCAGGCAGGTGCTTCAAGTGCTACTCGTCTATTGGCAGGAATGCGCAGTATCTGAGTAGACATCCAAGGTACTGACCGTCGAGGCCTTCCATAAGAAGTACCCAGTACGTGTACTTGGGAGACATCTTGTCCCTTCTTCAAACGCGCCTTCAGTATGAATACTTGCACAGATGGATAGGTGTTATGCGAAATCGGGAACACCGTCCTCCACTTACATATCTAGAGAAATTGTATTGTCCGCAAGTGTCGCATCAACAGTCACTCCTCCGCTTCATCACACCCAACTGCCGATATCTCACCTTAAGTCTGGATCAGTCGAGGCCAATGGTCCACCAACATGTCCGTCTCAAAGCCGGATGTTCCCATCGCTGCACGACACCCGCTACCTAGGTGATTCCAGGGTTCGATCTTAGTTAGTCTAACGGTCGTACTATTTACATGGATACAGTCCTAGCGGCGTGGACCCTCCATCGGCTGCCCATTTCTCCTGAACATCTCGTCTCGGAAATTTGGACCCCGACTCGATTATTCTGAATACCTCTTTTCGTCTCGACTTGGACGATCAAGGACATCTCCGGCTGGGCGTAGGCCTTCACCAGCTGAATCTAAAGCTCTTTGGGAATATTCACAGAAGTTTTTAGGCTGTTTTCTGGATCCCGACAACTGAGCCCCGACCCTATGTCAAAGCGATGCAATCTCCCAATTCCACTAGTGCCACTCCGCTCCATCGATCGGCGGTCGAGAACCTGAGAGTTGACAGCAGACTTGTCATGTTGCATGTTGCATGTCTCTCACCATTGTCGGCCGCCAGTGTAGCAAAGCGGAGGTTTACTAACTCTGACATTTACTCTGGGTCCGATGTGGCACCCGATACCCTGGTTCTGGGTAAGGGGTTTGCTGACCATTCACCATTGAAGAAAAATACAACCGTCTTCTTTGATCCTCGACACAGCAGCCCCTCCAGGCTCCGACCCCGTCTAATTAAGGTCCGAAGCCCGGAGCAGCGGCTCCTTAGCACATCCTGGGACCTGGATAGCGCTGGGCGGCCGGTCCATGGAGCGCACGTTGCGAAACCGAACGTGCGCCGGCCGACCCAGAAACCCGAGGAGGTCGACTTATTGACTTCCTGAGTTCCTGATGGTTCTTTGCCCTTTGGGCCGTTGCCGAAAGTTTGCGGGGAAGAGTGTCGGCATGGTGCCATCGGCCGACCTTCACTACGATCCCGGCTACTAATTCTGGAAAAAGAAATCGCAACCATCCGGCGCAAACATCCCGACCTGACATCATTCGGCTGACTCGCTAACATCATACGAGCAAGTGTCCTACCGCAGCCTCCACTGCACCGTTTTGACAGGTGCGAACCGTCGTGATCGGCTCAGTGCCAGGACGAGGGGATGACGAAGCGGCGGAGACATCTAGGACCAGGCCGGCAGCTTACCCCGGCATCGAGTCTCCACGGCAAATTGAGATAAATGGGGGAACGATGTCGCCCTCAAATCACTTCCTAGGTTTTTCCCCCGCTAGAAGGGCCAAAGCGGACGACAAGGGTTCTTCCAAAGGCAAAACGGCAGAAATGGCCAGATGGCAGAGGAAGGTTTCGGGGGACAAGGACGGGGTGTTTGCTGAACTTCTTGGTCCGCTCAACTCGGCTGGTGCGACAGCAACATACGATATCCCACTGGGTTAAACGACCAGGAATCCCGACATGGAATCGGCACCCTCCGTCGGCCATTGTCCTCGGGGTAAACGGAAACCTTCGCAACGTGTCGCCGGGGTGGTTGCCAGCAACGGGCCCGGAGCGCCGGGTCGATCAAATGCAAGCCCAGGGACGCCCATGAACAGTTGCGTAGGGCAGCAGCATCAGACCACCATACCGTATCGGCAATGCGACGTCGCTTGCGGACCCGGAGACGGCGCCGTTTTGGGACTTTGCTTCCCATCACAAATGCTAGCGGCCGCCCTTTCGGTCCCGAGACCACGGACCGGCCCAGAACATACTGAACATAACCCACCAGATGCGACATTGTTGGAATAAACAACTTTGACAATGTGCCGTTCTATGTATTCAAAATCGTACCTGGGAGAGTCATGAGCAGGGTTGGGGCTTGAACAAAAGATGGGCATGGGGCTCCAGATGCCACATTCGGCTCAAACATGCCCGTGAGGTCGGTCTCGTGTAGCGTGCCTCTCCAGGTCTCTCTGTCAAACTAAAACCCAATCCGACCCGCTGCCGTCCACAATCGAACCCCCGTCCGTTGAATCTCGAAGCCGACGTCAAGATGCATGCTTATTAGACTTGAGGCACGAGTCGGCGTCCTTGATCGACATCTAGCCCTAACAGAGACTTTCTCGTACGACTCAGTGCGGCGTATCGTATTGTATCTCTTTGCGGAACTGATCGACTTCGGAGGAGTCTTACGGCCAGTTAGAATTTCAGCGACTTCCTGAGAATTGACCAAATCTAGAAGCCCCACGGCGGAACAAACACAATGTTACAGTCAAGCTGGATGACAGGCTGAGTCACCTGCGTGGTTGATCTGCAAAATGGCGCCCGCGAAGGGTCTGGACTTGCCATGAGAATGACGGGTTCCAAGAAGTCGGTTCTCCTTGAAGTATGAGGTATGGCGCCTATAGCTGGCTAAGGGTGCCCGCGGCGAGCGAGGGAGCTCAAGATGGGTTTGAGAAGTTTCTTACTGTTTAGCGAAGTTACGTTGAGTTGCTCACTTCGCATAATATTTAAGCACAGAAACTCATGCCTTAGAACGCCTCCTCGACACGACCATGTGCAATATCTCCACACCGGAATGGCCACATCGCCAGCTGATTGAGCTTCCTGCATGCACACAGTCCGCATTACCGCAAGGTATGGTCCTGAGACCATTGCGATCCTACCATGGATAACGTAAACAAGGCTCCGACACTATCACAAGAGCAGACCGGAGTGGAGGGCGGGGGCCATGTAGCAGTCGAGGGAGCACCCGTACGACACGAAGCTTAGCGAGTAATCCTCCTTTTGTGTGTATCAAAGCGTCTGACTGCATGAGGAATTACAGATATTATGGGACATAGACACCCAGTCAAGGAGGGCGCGGTAGCCGTCTCCACTCGAGGGGCTGCAAGCCATCAACGACACGTACATGGATGCTGACACCACTCTGTCTGTCGCCTTATCGTCCGCGGGAGCTATGGACACGATCGACAAGCTATATCTTATGTGTTCAGAGAACTCATCACTGGCTTCGCGGGAGCATGGGAGAGGTTGAGCTGGGGCCAGAGATGATCCATAGCTTCTGCAACCCAGTCCGCCTGCAAACATGGCGTCTATTGGCACTCGTGCCGCCCACGAAGATCCACGAGAGACAACAGATGAGGGGTTATAGAGCCAACAAAGTGTAAAAGTGGGAAGCGAGGGGTGCTCAAAACAGGCCAGAAACATGGGGACCAGGCAGGGCAACAGCGGCTCGCATGAAGCAAAAAAGAAAAGAAGAAACCATTGTTTGTGGAGAGGGTATATCGCGGCTCTGCTATACACCCTTAGCTGTTTTCTTTTTTTTTTTTCGTGCGGCGGGCGCGCGCGCGCGGATGCCTGCATCGCTTCTTTTACCCTCGAACCCGCCGCAGCCCGGCGCCCGGTCCGCACCGGGCGATGAGATGAGGGAACAACGACTGTAGGTATTTGGCATTTCAGCTCAGCAAGTATGGAGTAGCTTGCAGGATAACATGACGAACCCCCTCCATGCTCCAGCCAACGAACACGCATCCTACACCGGTAGCGGCCCGTGTGAGTGTGTGTATAGTGCGCAATAGCACTGTCAAATAAGTCAGCTTGACTCTGTATCGGCCAAGGAGGGCGGGCACTTTGGTCCTGTGCGCATTGGAATGGTGACCAGCTATGTGGTGATCAGCTATGCTGTTGTGAAGGAGGAGGCGCGTTGCTATTAGGTTGGCACTTCCATAGCTGACGGCATCGCACGACAGACAGAAAAACCTTCGACTGGGACGGCATCAAATTGTGACACATGCTTGGCTACCACAAATTATGGTACCATTGGTTTTCTCTTCATTCCATGCTTCATGTAGCAGCATTGTGTACAGA